CGATACGATTAATTCAAATTTTGCTGCTCAGGACATCCCTACTGAAAAGCTGTAGCTGTCACACCGGCTCCTGAAGGTTAAAAACAAGTCACAACTTTGGTCCGTGTGCTCAAATTAAAGGAAGGTTTACATTTGCGTCCACGTCCAGGTTTCCAGGTCCAAGCAGAACAAGTCCAGCTGCGCCGTTTCCTGCAAACACAGGCTCAGTTTTAGGAAAACATGTTGTCAGTACAGTCGTGTGTGTCCAAACTGCTACACAAGGACTTTCCTGTACCGAGGAACTTCTGGTGCTATGAAAAGATTTGAAGCTGCACCGAAGAGAAATCAACAAAACGATCAGAACAGTGCATAAAGGTGCTGACGCTTATTATTGATCAGCTTTGTTAACTGGATCTTCATTTATTTAAGACACTTTTGTTCATCAAATAGTCAGAAAAACACAGATTTCTGTTAAATAAGGCGACGCTGATGTGTTATTTAACAGATTTTCTCTGTTTTGTTGCATTTAAGGGTATAAATGTTCAAATTAGAGAGAAAACGTTTGAATGTTGATCCTAAAAAACAAGTTTATAAAAAGCTCTTTGTTCTTTTACAAAGTTTGACCATAAAATCACAGTTTTAATGTATTTAAATCTGCTACAAATCTCATTATTTTAGTATTTTCATCATTTCTTCTGCAGATTTTTTAAGCGTTAACACCGTTTTCTTTTGTTTTTTTTAATAATATTTTTTGGCATCTCGCCGACACATTTCTGCTGTTTGTCCGTCCTGATCCTGGACGGTTCCCACCAAACTAAGCAGGTTGAGCTCAGTTCAAACCCGTCACGTTCTTCTAAATTCAAACTGTTTTTACCGACTTTGTGCACGAGGGAAGCGTCACCTCTGAGCAGGAAGGGGATGTTAAACAGGAAAGGCCTTTCCCCGAACTGTGCCCGTGAAGCTGGAGGTTTTAAACTAAATCGCTGCCGACTCCCTGAGAGCAGAACCAGCAGCGTCCACACACTGCTGGCTGTGTGTGGCTGTAGTGGACTCACCGCTCCGCCGCTGACGAAGCCTTTGTTTCCCAGCAGGGCGCCGGCGTGGCAGCCTCTCGGCGCCGGAGCACGACCCTGGACCAGAGCGGAAAGATGGATTCAGAAAATCAGCCTCCACACACACAGATCAGAGTTCAGGGATGTTAATCCTGAGCTGCCTCATCGTCACATCCCTGCAGCACCACAGCTGGACTTGTCTTTATTTACTTCCACCTTGTTGTTTCTCATTTCTATTCATTGCCATTAATGCTGCTCCAAAGTTGAGTTATTTCCAAAAGAAAAAACAGCTTCATCAGTCTGTTAACTCGCCGTCATCTGACTAATACCAAGAACCTGTGACAGTGTGGACAGAACCCTTCATTCAGCAGCATGACGACTTTATGAACCGTTTACTGGACTGTGTGCTCGGTTGTGCACTGGACAAAGAAATGTTGTAAAACTAAAACTTTATAAATTAAAATCTTCAAGCCTGAAGGCCAGAAAAAAGAAGAAAAAAAACACATTCAAGAACAGAAGAACACTTTAATGTTCAAAAATGTAAAAATAAATAAAAGTGAAAGTGACAAATATCTGTAGAAGCTCAAAAAAAGACAATAAAACTGATTTTACAGTCACATATCGTAACAGAACAAACTGCTAGTTGTAATGAAAATAAAGATATTTGATGATTATTTGTTTTTCAACATGTAAATTGAGGCATTTGTCTTTTTTTATAAGATATTCCAAAATAATTTGTCATTTTTCAACATTTATATCCATATATTTTTTTTAATATTTATACATTTTTGCTGATTTAAATATCGCACAAATCGCAAAAATCTAGATGAATGATGTGGACGTTATTCATAGCTGCGGCCTGTTTTATTGTATTTATAAGTAAAGCCAAACTTTTACTATTTTCTGTAATTTAACGAAACTAACTCTGTAAATTACAGCTTTTATCATTTAAATATTGATATTTTTTGCACTATAGTTGACTGATGTGTGTCACGTTGTCACTGTGGGATAAAACCTCAGAAATAAACCAAACCAAACATCAACGATGGAGCTTCTACTCACTCTGGTCTCCGGTTGGCTCCACGTCAGCGTGTTGGTGTCGAACACGTTGACCTCGTTGTTCCAGCCCCAACACCGAAACAACGTGTCTCCAATTGTTGTCTAAAAATAATAAATAAATACAGAATATCATCATCAATAACCAACAAGCTGAGCAGGTTTTTATTAGAGCAGAGGACCCACCCAGGACATCTCATCCACAACGAAGCTGGACGACGTGGTGTTCCGAACCTCCCCGATGGTTTTACATCCGTATCCGCCGAAGTAGATCAACCTGCAACCAGCACACCACCTTTAAAACGCTGACACGTGTCGTCTAGACGCTAGTGAGTGTTTTGTTCCGGCTCAGCTGGAGCTTGAAGTTGAACCGGTTTATCCAGACGAGGCCTGACTGACCGATCTCTGTGTACCCAGCACGAGTGCTTGTTTCGAGGCGACGGCGTCGTTCCTTTGGTGTCGGTGACTCTCCTCCACGAGCAGCAAACCTCCGACAGGTCGACCGTGAACATCTGCAGACGGAGAAAACACAGCTTCAGCTATAAAACATTATAAAACTTAAACCCTGGAGCAGATTTCTGACGTTTCCTCTGCGATCTGAAGCTCTCGTCCACCAGGGCTGCACATAACCGTGACTGTCTTTGGTGATTCATCTCCACAAATGGTGAAAAGTGAGTTTCTCAAAGTCCAAAATGACAAGATGTTCAGTTTTCTGTCATATAGGAGGAAATAAAGCAGAAAATATTCACACTGAAGAAGCTGGAATCAAACCAATTAATCAATTATGCAAATAGTTGAAGATTAATTAAAGATTAAAGCTTGTATGTGGAGACAAACAGGAGTTCAGGTGAGTCCATTAAAGATTAGTTGATTGAATAAACTGGTGCTTTGGTTTGATTAATAGTTTTAAGGAAAAAACTTTGCTGCTTTGCTTCGTCTGAGATCGTTTCAAACTGAATATTTGAGGGTTTTTTGGACTTTTGCTCAAACAAAACACAAGATTTAAAGACATCAGCTTCAGGTCTGCAGGATATTTTTGGCATTTCAGAAACTTTTCAACTTTAAACACGTTAACCAGTTTCCTCTCATGTGACGTTTGCTGCGTTTAGTTTCACAAAAAAAATCAAGTTACAACAGCGTCTGACGAGGCTTCATATCACAGACGGAGGAACAACATGAGATTAGCTCGTTCCTGTTCTCACGTATCGTCCAGACAGATAAACATCACGCCGTGTTTGAAAAAGCGAAAAGCTCGTTTCACAACATTTTCTGCTGCCGTGAAGTTGTTTCCAGAAACTCTTCTCACTCTGCTGCAGGACAAACGTCACCATTCAGGAAGGAGCTGCTTCAACAGGACATCAGTGGACCAAGATGGAAAACTGAAAACTGACCACAAAGGCTGGAAGAGATGCAAGAACGTTTAAATTTGAAGGTAGCAGCATTGATAGACGCTCTGTGATGGAAGACGTGCACAGTGCTGCACTTGGATAAGAACAAAGATCGTCCCTTTAAAAGGTTCTTTTGCACCGTAACGCTGCTCTAACGGTTTTACAACGTCTCCATTTAGACTCCAGCACCAGCGAGGGGAGAGCTGCCGTTCATCTGAGCCACAAACACCGTTTAAGAGGCGCTTTCTAGAAAGTTCTAAAGAGCTATCACGAAGTTCTCAAATAAAACTGAGACAGTATTTAATGACGACCCTAAAGAAAAGCAGCGTAATTAAGCAGGTTGTTAGCATCCATTTTCCTGGTGCGACCCGGTACGTTTGAGGCCACGTTTACACGTAGTCGGGTATTTACAAAAACAGATCTACGTTTTTAAAACTAGTCATGTTCACACCAGATTGTTTTCAAAAAAATATTTAACACAAACCCACATAAACGCGTCATTGTGAGCTGCCAGACCTACAGGGGGCAGTGTAACGAGAAAGCCATGCTAGCCAATCAGAATCCTGGAAAAACACAACAACGAATGGCACGAATTACTTCCTGATACTTCAACGGTGATGGTGCGTGGGCCGTTTGTTTGGACCGACAGAGAAGCTCCTCCACATAACAGAACATTTCTGAGTGTAAATGCAAACAGGCCAAAAACGTTGCACAAACGTAACAACAAGCACCTCGTTAACAGCATCCATTTCTATCAGTGTAGCCAAACTATAAACATGCGTCACACACGTGATGCTGATGACACTTTCGGAGTTTTTCCAAATCTCCACTTTGGCCAGAGTTTTCAAAAATGATTGTTTTTAGTGACTCGTAGCTTCGTTTACGTGTAAACCAAAGACCCAAACACACTGAAATGTCACCGTTTTTGCTACGTGTAAACAGGCATTAATCAACTCTAAAAGGAAAATCACCAGCAGCAGAATGATTTCTTTGTTAATCAGGGTTTCATTTACTCTGTAAAACAGACATTTTGCTCATCAGATGGTCAGAAGTGACAGGAAACTGCTTCGGTTTCTCTAAAACACGCCAACAGACTCGACGACTTCACTGTAAGTGGACCGATGCTAACTGCTGCTACCAGGAAAACCCTGGTTAGCATGCTAATGTTTGCTAATTAACACTGAACACAAAGTAAACTCATGGAAGTGTCAGTTTTGCAAATCAAAGCATGACGACGTGTTAAACTTTTATCCGACGATGGAAGCAAGAACTTCAATCCATCTGACAGTTGCTGGGATGTTCCTGTTTGAACCCATAAAAGCAGCCACCGTGAGCTCATGTATTGATTTGTAGAAGACAGTTTTCAAACCCTTTCACCACTGATACTGTAGCCTCACAACATTCCCTGATTTATCGTCCATTTTCCTCTAAATGTGACCAGAATGTACCAAATGAACATCATTCTGTATTACAGGAGACTTTAAACTACAGATTAGGACCAGAAACTTATCAGGAAACTGTTAAGTGACGGTGAAAATCAAATGAGACATCGACACAGTTTAGTCTCTTTTACAGCCACACAAGTCGCCCCCTGCTGGCTGTTCGAGGGAATGCAGGGTTTGTTTTTTTCCATACACAGAGGTTCGTAAATCTTTTACACAGTTGAGGATTTGGACAGAAGTGATGTTATTCAATTGTTTTGGATGTTTCGTCTCCTGTTGAAGCAGCTGCATATTTTATACAGTTTTAATAACTTTGTGCATGGGCTCAATTTTGCCAACACTGAGGCGTCATTGGAGAAATTTTGAGCATCGAACATTTTCATTTCTTGCATTTTGTTGATTTTTTTTGCACCAGTTTGTGACTTTGCTGCACCAGTTAAAGGTGGAAATGCTTTTATTTTTTTTAAAGCAAACACAAAATTCAAATTTAATCCTTTTGCGTCTTTATTTGGACAACAATCAGCAACATTCTTTGATTTAACTGGAAACTTGGGGTTCCAATGTGTGAAAACTGCCCAATATCAACGCTTTATTCTATGTAGATTTTGGTAACACCTGTAAAACGTTGGTGAGTTTGCTGGACAACACCCTTCATGCTGGACCAGAGCAGGCCCAGCTCGTCTCACCTGGTTGCTGTATCCGACGGCGTCTCGTCCTCCGAAGATGTAAAGAGTTTCGTCGATGTTCGCGCCACAAAAACCATCTAAATCCTGAGGAACGTCTCCGGTGATCTCCCTCCGCTGCCTGGTGAACAAACACAGCCGAGTCACACAAATGTAAAGCAAACAGGTGGCTTCAGTCAACCTGCACCTGAGTGACAAAACAACAAGAGGCCATTGTTCTTTAATTATTAGCTTTCTGTCTCCTTCTTTATCAGGCCTGATGAGTCACTGTTTGTTTGCTTTTTTTAACAACATCCTTAAATGTCAAGGTGACATCTGAGCTGATAAAACGCATTTTTCCTTTTTTAATCTCACCACGTCCCGCTGTCCAGATCGCAGAGCCATATCTCATCTCCGGGCAGCATGACATCTTGTCCTGCGACCACCTGTCAGGAAACAAAGCGCAGATAAAGACGATGCTTGTTGTGGGTCATCAGACAGTTGTTGGCACAGTTTTCACTCGTACAAGTGTTTTCTGCTCGAGTACAGTCTGGATGCAGCGAGACACAGTTTGAAGGAAAAAATGCTTTTCCAGTTCAAACATGTTCCGGCAGCTGAAATGTCATGTAAGGATCGTGTGTTCGGCTTGTTTTCGCAGAGAAACGCCTGATTTATGGAACCAAAACTGAAGCAGGGAGTCAAATTCTGCTTTAATCCAACCTGGTTTTAACAGCTGATGATTGACAGTGTTTCATTTATTCTCCACAGGGGGAAAAATACAAATAAAATGATGATGTGTGCTGCTCCAAACAAGAGTTTTATGTGAAACATGTGATTTATAGGCTTGAACATCTGTGTAGCATCACAATACTGCTGTGACACATTTCATCTTTAGCAGCTCCTGTGGGTTGGATATTCCACTTTTTAAATGGGATTTTGTCCATATTTTTAATTAATTTTTCATTCAGAGAGGTGCCAAACACAATAAATCAACCAGGATGGACAAAATATTTCACATATCTCAGTATAAATGATAGAACTCAACAGTAACACACACCACAGCCTCAGAATTACCAATAAAGTCAAACTAAAATCAATAAAAATTAACATAAAAGTAGGATTTATTGCCAAAAATGGTGAGTAGTTTTTTGTGTGTGCACTCTAAACCCAACACACACTGAAACATCCATAAATTCAAACTGAAATCAACAAACAAATGACCATAAAAGTCGGATTTTTTTTTGCATAAATTGGTTTAATTCAGCTTAAAAAATGAAGAAACGTGTGCTCCAAAGCCACCACACACTGCAACCTCCAACTTATCCACAAATCTGAAGGAGAACCAACAAAAACTCATCAAAAGGTAAAATTACTGCAAAAAAAAATGAAAAATGAAAAAGTTGTTTGCAGGTTGATTTCAGCTTAAAAATTAAGAAACGTGCCACTAAACCCACAACATCCTGCATCCTCCAAATTATCCAGAAATCTGAAAGAACACCATCAAAAACAGAAAAAGATTAAATTACTGCAAAAGAAACGTCGTTTATTAAACTAGGGAACAAAAAACAGGCTGATTTCTGTGTATAAACCAACACATGCGCTCTATCTGCTGTTCAATGACTTTCATCTGCTCCTTCTCGAGATGTAATAAACCACAACGACCCTGACAGGCAGACAATGGCCGCTGCGGAGCTCCGTGTCGGTGTCGTGACGCAGCTCCGGGCTCGTCTACCTGCCCAGGTGTCTTTACGCGCGGCTCACCTGGTAGCCTCCCCACACGTACAGCGCGTCGCGGCGGATGAACGCGGTGTGGTTGCTCCTCTCCAGCCGGCTCTCCTCCATCCCGGGGCTCCGGTGTAGAAACCACCCGCTGACACACGGTTCTCCGGCGGCGGCTCCGAGCTGCAGCCGGCAGTCTGAGAAACGTGTTTTTCTGGCTGCTGTCCTCAAGTTCCTCCTCCAGCAGCTGATCCCCTCATTACCGCCGGCGGCAGCTTGTGGCGCACAGACACAGCGGGAGGCTTTAAAACTGCATCTATGGAGGAGTTTCCTGCAGTTTGCACGAAATGAAGTGAAATTCAGACACACAAGCGGACTCCTGACACACCGGAGACACTGACGAGGCTGCTGCTGGCGGAGGGTTTCACTCGGAGCCGGTCGGTGCTGTGATTGGATCCAGCTGCGCTTTAAAAGCTGCGCGTCTCTCAGGTTGAACCTTCAGAGGAACGAGGTGTCCATCAGTGACAGGACACACTTCAGTGCTGACACCAAGATGTAGAGGTTCGGTGTCAGAAAAGTCAACAAAAAGCCACATTTGATGATTTCAGAGTCTTAAATGTGACGATTTTCTGCGTTTTCTTTATTAAGCAGTTTGGTTTGAGCTGCTTGTGAGGAGAACCTCTGAGCAGCAGCCAGCAGGAGGTCCTTCTGCAGGAGATGCTGAGCAGGTTGCGCAACTTTCTGTAGCTCTTCTCTCACCACAACATATGATGGAGCAGATAATAGATTTCCTCTGTATCGTGGGAAATAATGACTAGTTGCAGCTAAAAAAAAAAAAAAGCAAGGAAAAAAAAAGCAGTGAAATGATGCTTTTAAAGCAGATTGAAGCATCAGTGATATAAAGCTGATGTCACCTGGATGTTTTTTTTTGCATTTTACTTTAATGTATAGTGAAGTTTAAAAAAGTGTGTTTAATTAAAATCAAACTAAAGGAGCTGAAGTACATCTGCAGCATTATGATGATGTTAACGGGTTGTTCCAGGTTTAGACAGCAGTGGATCAACTATTCAGACTCTTCCACGTGTGCAAAAGTACCGATACGGTGAAGTAAAAATACTCCATTACATGTTGAAGGTTTAGTCTTCCTGTTTGAAATGTGGATCTTTGCACTGCTCTGGATAACAACAAACAATGGACTCAACAATCAGCCATTTATTCATCTGAAACGTGACAATCTAACACTTCCCTCTAAAATGCAGCAGAGGACGAAGGAGCATCAGAATACTCGAGTACAAACACCTCAATTGTTAACTGAAGCACAGTATTTGGGTAAATTACTGGTACTTTACAGGATTTCAAGCACTTTTTGTGAGACGCAAAGAAAGAATTTCATCCTAAAACAGAGAAACTCACTTTATCCATCGACTCAGGCTGCAGAGATCTGTGCATTCACTTCAAATGTACGGCCAAGTAGGAACGTAAACAGGGTTTTAGGACAAAAATATAGTAAATATAAGCACTGAGTCAACATGTAAAGTATTTTTATGACATTTAGTTATTTACACAGGTTCTTTTTGACCTAATCTGAGATAAAAGTTTATTTATTCTCTAGTTTTCTGAGTCCTTAAAGGCAGGTTTAAAAACTAATACGAGGACGGTTCAGACGGTTGAGGTGCGACAAATAAAAGGAGAGCAGAATGCAACACGCCCACATTTATTTCAATACACATCGTACACAATGACATGAAATAAATACAAACCAGGAGCAACAGCTCTGCAGGATTCTGACGTGATATGTTCTGCACTTATATCAAAACCAACTCGTAGAGGATTTTTATTCTCTGTAGATTCTGCTAAATAAAAAAAAACAATCTTGTTAGTTGAACTAACTGAAAATGAAAATAAAAATGGAGAAAGATGGAAACTGAACGTGGCTTCGTTAGCGTCGGGGCTCGTTTGTGTCTTTTAACAGTCGTCGCTGAGTGCAAATGTGCAAAATAAGTCGTGACTTCAGAACCGCTGTGAGATGCAATAAATTCCCCTCAAAAAAAAATCTTCTTTAAGCCACAGGATCATTATTAATTTCCTTCAGTTAATGATTTAATGTCAGTGTGACTCGGCACACAAGCAGCAAACATTATTTATTCTCTGAAGCTCTGAATCACGCCTTTTAAAAAAAAACACGTACAAAGAGAAACATTCCACAAAGTCTTCATATTTACACTAAGTCTGATGCATCCGTGTCGTTTCTTGTCCTGCGGTAGAGACGCGTGCAGAGGAACTCGTGTAAAGCTCAAAGTAAACAGAAGGCACGATTAAGGAATCTGCTAAGTCCAACATTTCAAGTGCTGTTCTCAGTATTTCTTTCTTTTCTTTTTTTTTGCAGGAACGTTACGCAAAACTCTCTCCGCCGCGAGCCGCGTTTCCATGAAACTCTCATGAAAATTTGAAGCGAATCGTCTTCGGAGTGAATAAACTCGGCTGCGTAGTGTCGTCTGAAGGTGGCGCTGTGGGCTACGTGCAGAGGAAGATGGAGGAAAAAAAACACAAAAGAAGAAGAAAAACAAAAAAAGAACTTTGGCAACTATGAGAGAAATCTGATGTTGTGGAATTATTCTCCATCAGAAAAGTTGGGATTTTTGTTTCACGTCAGCGGAAAACAACGACCTGATGTCAGACATGATGTTAGACGGTTGTTTCCATCAGCCATGAAAGAGCATTAACTCCTTCTAGAAACAGAGCAGAAGCTTCTAAACGTGCATGAAAACGCTTCATGGAAACACGGCCGACTCCTGACTGTAACGTCAGGCGCTTCAGGTAAACGTGAAGAAGAAGAGGAGCATGAAGACGTCTGGATGCCGTGGCTGAATCAGAACTCGGAGGTATTAAAGTCAGTAACATTTGGCCGCCGTGCGTCTCGTTACAGAGCGAAGCTGCTGCAGCCTCCTGCAGGTTTTTAAACGCTCCTAATTGCACTTGAGGTTAGACTTCATGTGAAAAAGCTAAACGGTGTTTCTGCTGGAGGCCGGCTCAGTCCTGCAGGTCCCTCTCCAGGTATCTCTTCATCCGCTGGCAGCGAGGACAGGGGAGGCCGGCCGTCTTACAGGACAGATGGAACACAGCTTTGCAGTCTTTACACCTGATGGAGACACAAGGACGCGTTTAAACGACAAACGTCCTCGATGCAGACAAACATCAAGGTTTAGGGCGTTTTAAGGGAAAATGTGTGATTGTTGCCGATATTAACATCTTAATCCATTTACAATCTGACTGATGTCACTAAACAGCTTGAGTCTAATGACTCTGATCGCACTCTTGCTGTAAATATTCAAGACGGGAACATTAAATGAAGACGAGCTAATAATTAATTGTGACGTAACTCTGAGCAAAAACAACCTGCAGCAGGAAACGTTTCTATTATTGTTGTTGAGAAACTGAGTGTTATTAAATTCAACCTGCTGGTTTTAATTCATGCGTCTGTTTTATCTCCTGCATGGACAGACGAGTGAGTAAATCCCTCGTTAGCGCGCTGCGTGTGATGTAACCTACTAGAGGAGAGTAGAAATGTTGGGCTTCTGGGGTCGACACAGACTTTATAGAATAAAGGGAGCAACACTTTAGCCGATGTCCTGTATGTGTACATGTCAGACTAATACTGAGAAGGGAAACGCTCCAGATAATTAATTTCACAAACCAGCCAGCAGCTTATTGTGAAGACCAAACTTGACTTGGTGCTCTGCTACATGCGCTGCAGAAAAGGTCGAGAGGATTTCAAACAACGATGCTGCAAACTGTGATGACGCAACAAAAACACTGATTATATTCACGATATCTCTGAGAAATCTTTGTTTTAGTGGTGAAGGTTGATTTTTATCGCGGCATAAATGCTTTGAATACGAATAACAAAAGAAAAAAGTTGAACACAAAAAGGAAATCGTGGCAACAACTTGTGCCGTCGCGTTATTTCTTTGCTTGACTGTTTTTTTTATTCTCTAAATCTTCGATAGAGGAAATTCCAACTCTGAAACTTTCAGGTGAGACAGACGATCTGAAGTATTTCTTCTTTCACAAACGGTAAAACCTCAGCTCACACAGCGACCGGTCGGAGGAAGACGCAGCGTTTAGCACCAGCCACGTTTAAAGAGAGAAGCTCAACAGCTGGAGTCTGTTTGCAAAGATCAAGGCTGATAAGAAGCTAAAAGCTAAACGCTAACACTCCTCCACCCAGTAACGAGTCCCGCTGATTAGAAAGACAAAGAAGCTGCAGCCAATCTGAGTCTGTTAGCGAGGCTCAGAACAAAGACGACTTCGTCATCGGTCCAACCACTTTACTGCAAACCTACTTCAATTATTATCTGTTAGTTTTATATATTCTGTGTGCGTGTTGAAGATATGAAGTACGTTTTATTCCAGCCAGTATTTGTGTAGCGCAGTTTGAATGTGAAGCTAAAACAAGAACAGCAGTTTGTCGTCTCTGAAAGCTGCAGCTTAACTGATTTTTACTTTATTATTTTTCAATCACTTAAGAGAATATTTATTCGGATTTATTCAGTAAATGTCGCAGCGTTGACGGACTTTTGAAGCAGCTACGATCTGTTCAGTAAAACAAACAGCAGTAAATATAAAAAAGGAGGGAGTAATAAAAAAAAAAGCAGTTTAATGTTCTGTATTTCTTTTCTGTTTTACCTCAAAACACGAGTGCGTACGTATAAGTTTGATCCATCGCTGCATCCCTTTTCTCTATACGCTGTGAATATTGTCTCCTAACTGAGCGAAACAGGAAAAGTTTAGTCGGATTTGAAATAAAAAGCTTATGTGTCTTTTTATACGATGTATGTAAACTTCTGGTTTCAACTGTATTAGAATTGTAATAGAAGGACTTGATTATTGTTATTATGATTATGATTATTATTATTATTATCATTGTTATTATTATCGGTGTGTACGGCAGGATTCAAAGCCACAACGAGACTCGTAAACATGTGCGACGCCGTGTAAAGACATAAAGACGTTTGGATGAAGCTGATTATCCTGAAGTTTGATACCAAGACTTTCATTATACCCACAAACACACATCGGTTTCACACCTCCTTGATCACCAATCATCGACTGAGGTGATGAAGGTGAGACCAGAGTTGTGAAAACGCACCTGGTGGTGCTGCCGAACTGGAAGGGGAAGATGATGTCGCTGGAGTGGCAGATCTGACAGATGAAGCCTCGCTGGGTGCAGAGGTCGCAGTGGAACACGTGGTTGGAGGCGTAGTCCAGCAGCGTGAGCAGGAAGGCGGCGTACTGGCCCTCCGCTATCTGCAAAAACACACACAGTCAGGTGTTTCAAAGAGGCAGGTGAGTGGAGAAACACAGTGGAGCCAGGAGGATACCTGTCGCAGGTCCATGACGCTGTACAGGTGGCTGGACTCCATCAGGTAGGTCCTCTGGCCCATCCTGGAAGAACAAAGGAATAAAATGAAACAATACAGAAGAATTAGCCGAGCTTTACAGCATTCATACAACTTTACAGCAGTTTCACTGAAGCCTGAGAACAAAAGAATTATAGAAAGTCAGTAAAAAACAATGTGGCCGAGAATGAGTGAATATTAAAGCACAGAAACCCTGTTTTACCCTCCAGTGGGGTAAAAGGCATGTTGTGCTTCTGAAAAATATTTAAAAATGACTCCACTGATCAGCTCTAGGAACTGTCAACTTGTAAACTTTGCACTGTGACGTGATGTTCAGACAGAAAACTGAACCTTAAAATCAAGATGGTTCACCAAAATCACTTTCATCTTCATGTCTCATTCAAAAACAAAACACAGTTTGCTTGAAACAGATTCTGCAGAAAACTAAAAACTCTGAGCTCCTCTGTGCAGCTGTGAAGTCCTGACTGTGATCAACAGTTATGTGACAAAAAAGTTCAGGAAACTTTGAGGATGAACTGCAGGCAGTGTTTACACAGAGCAGAGAGGAGACGAGCAGGAAAACTTTGAATTAAAAATGTAGTGAAAGGTTTTTCTCCAGGATTTACAATAATAATAATAAATAAATAGAAGAAGAAGAAAGATTCAGAAAACTTTGTACGGCAGCAAAATAAAACATGTCAGAAAATTAAAAATATAAAAAGTAAAATATCGCTTCCCAATATCGGTAGTGGTGGTTATTAATAAAAATAATAATAATAATACTATATAGAAGAAGAAGAAGACTTTAAAAGGCAACAATCAGAATTCTTAACACACAGATAAAAACACAACGTGGTGTAATAAAACCCACCAAGTGTTAGAAGACATAAAAACATGATTTAGACCAATAACTGACTGTTTAAAGGAAATAAAAACTCTAATAAAACCAGTAAAGGTCTAGAGAGGAGACTAAAAAGAGGTCAACGATTCAGCCGACCTGGTTTCTGCGGTAAAATGATCTGAGAGCCTCGAGGCCGTAAAGAAAAACATTAAAGTATAATCAGGACAAAAACAGAATCCTAAAATCTATCCTAAACATACAGCAACACCTGCGGGTTGGGAAGCTTCTGTAAATACGTAATCCAGGACATTCTGCGTCATGTGGCTGCTCTGTTTAGGTAAACAGCGAGTTAAGACGTGACAGGAGCAGGACAAGCCCACCTGGCCTGCAGACTCTTGCAGGCGCCGCTGCGACAGGTGAGCAGGTAGTCGCCCAGCAGACGGAGCCTCTCCCTCAGACTGTGGATCTGAGCCATGCACTCCGAGTGCTTCACCAGCTCCGGGTTCAGCTGCTCCAGGTTGAGCAGAGGCTCCTGCTGGACCTGATCCAACAGCTGGATGGCCTTTTTAGACACCTGGACGAACAAAATGAGGCGTGTTCGTGAACAGAGGCGGAACCAGAACATGCAAAACCAGTTCTTGAGACGCACTGGTAAAAATTAAAAGCATCTATGGCAGCAGAGGTAAAGACACAGTGTGGAGCTTCCAGTCCGACAGCATCACCAGGTATTTAATCCTGACTCATTCGTCTGATCCGTCTCTCTTCATGTTTGTTTAGAGGTTCAGGTGTGTTTTGCTGTCTTTATGCCCAACGATCACCATGAAGCTCCTCCAGCTGATTACTTAGGTCAAGAAAATTATGTACAAATATAAGAAAGCGTTATTGTCTCGCTAAATGTGCTAAAATTCTTTTCATTCTTTTCTTTTCAGTGGGGATTTTGGAATTCTCCTTTCATGACTTCATGAATCAGATCATACAGTCAACTCCCATGATGTTGTGAATAAAATGTTCTATGAATCAGACACTGAGTGATGCTGGAACAAGACCTTCAGAATACAGACAGGAATAAACCTGGAGAGTTTGTTGTCAGTCGGTGCTGCTGAAGTGGAGATTTCTGACCGAGGCTGTGAGAACACGCTCATTAAAAAGTCTCATATTCTGACTGGAAACCACTAAGTACAGGGTCACACCAAAGATGTTAGATATGACATTTCCCCAGAAAATACATCCAGGAAAAAACGTTCACTGTAGTGATTGAATAAAACGACGCGATGGCAGATATTTGAACAAACCCCAATACCAGAGAATAGAATACCACACATTCTAACTGGAAACCAGTCAGGATGAAACACCTCAGAGATCAGATATTACAATAAAACCTACGAAGACAAATATTGTTTTTGTATTCAAAGTTGTAAAATGTATGTTTAAATATACAAATGAAGTTTTTTTTTCATCTAAATGTGCTTTAATTTGCATTGAATCCAGCTTCAAAATTCTTGTTTATCTTCATTCATCACTCCATGAATCAGAAAATCCTGTCAGCAACCAGGAGAAAAAATCTAATTTCCCTGTCGTGATTATAAATAAAGCGCAGCCATGATGACCGCGTGTAAAAACCCTCAGAGCATGGACTGGAACTGAACGGGAAAGTTTGGTACGCATGAATTCTGCCGAAGAATTGATTTCTGGCTCAGAGGAGGAAGAAAAACATGTTTAAAGATATGCATTAAAAAAATAGCACACACCCTTACTGGAAACTAGACTAGATTGATTGCTTCTGTCCAGGAAAATACTACTTCTATTACAAGTTTGATGTTTAAATATACAAATGAGGGATTATACATATAAATAAGCCACAATTAGCATTTAAAGTGTAGTAAAATAAACACCTGGAACCAAAACATCGCATAAGAAAACACATTTTGTGCATGTTTACTGCTCCAGAAGACTCGTAAACAAACAGTTTAATGAGTTCCTGAAGCCTCCCGGTTTCACTGAAGACACTGTTTGATATCTCAGCAGCACGGCGCCTGTCCACATGGGCGTAGCGATGAAGCGAAGCGTACCTCTCGCTGCGTGAGGTCCCAGTTGTGCACCATGCGAGACGGGATGACGGAGGTTTCCCCGCCGTGGCAGGACTCGCAGTAGTACTGGCCCGAGAACTCGCACAGCCTGGACCTGCCCAGCGACGGGCCGATCTGCTGAGGACAACCTGTTGAAGAAGCAGGAAGAAACTCACACACAGTCCTGAAACCCACCAGACTCACCAACACTTAAGACTCGACAGTCCGAAAGTAGCACGCAGAAGACGACTGAGACAGCAAACTGTGATAACATTAGATAATTAAACCGGTATTAGACAAGAAGGGAAATTCTCTTCTGTTCCTGCATGAAAATAGGAACAATTCAGCCACAGTTTGCTAACGTTTACTGTAATCTGGCGGCAAAGGGAAATCAATGAGCGGCTATTGTTCTCCAGATAATAAATGCTCGCTAAACTCGCAGCACGTCGCACAAAATTGTGGTTTTCTGTGTCGTCTTTGTTTGTGTCGGGGCTGCTTTGTGCTTTCATGTGATCAATTTATTTTCAGAAATCATATGAATGTGTGCAGCTGCTCTGCTCCGAGTCGGTTCTGATCATGTCAGCAGAAAACAACCAGGTTCAGATGATTTAACACGCTGCTATTAGATGCTATTTAGACGAGTTGCTCGGTGCACATTTAGTTCGTCTACTGATAACTTGCTGAATATTGTTCTAGCGCCCAGCTGATTGGTTGAAGAGTTGGTGTGATATAAGCTGACTAAACTGAGATTAGATTTTTTAGTCTACACACACAGGACGCCAGCGGTCTCTTTTCCAGCTAACAAATATCAAAAATCACACTATCAAAAACCAGATTAACTCACATTTTTAGGTCAGTTTTAAGGAGAAGTCAGGCGGCTATTTACACACAGTCACTACAAACACCTTCTTAGGGGAAAAGGGGAAAATTTTACAGTCAAACTAAACTAAAACTAAAAACTGTCTATAAAATTAGCATGAGGCAGTCTGACTTTGTTAGATTAAATGAATATTTTCTGTGGTAACACTCGTTTTAATGTGAAACTCCCTCTAAATGTTTCCCCTTGTGTGAAGCCACGGTGACACAAACGGGGAACTTGACGCTAAAAACATGAACTTGGTACGTTTAAAGTGCAGAAGCCTCACATGACCGTCAGATAAGCTTTAAAAGCTCAGACACACGACTGGGTTTTGTCCCCATTGCTACCAATGACATTTAAAAAAAAAGAACAATTTCTGCTCTATCATCTCTGATTTGTCTGGAAATTTTTCTCACATAAAAGATTAATATGTAAGATATTTCTGGAGTTTTAGCTTCATATAGCAAACACTCTCTGAGGTAAATATATATATATATATTTTAATAAATTAAAAATGGCTATAGACCCACTTTTCACGCATAAAAATTTAAGACCATGTTTAGGTGACAATACCTCAGGAATTATTAAAGATAAAAGTCCAAAATGAACAGGACCTGCAGCTACATATGGTTCAGAAATTAACAGTAGTTGATCTTTGCATGAGCAATTTTTTTGGTAACATAAGCTCAAAGAAGGGACTTTAATGGCAGCTTAATTTTTGTCGTATTTCAACTCACTCACAAACAAACTCATAAGCAAAGACGATTTGATCTACTTGTTTAATATCGCAGGCTCTGAATAAATGACATGACAAGAAATATCAAAATATAAAGAGAATTTCAGGTTTTTAATCTTTAAAAGTACCTGAGAAGCTGAACTTCAAACAGCCTCAAATTTTAATGTGTGAAAAATCTGCTGAATGTTACAAAAAATTCTCTCTCTCATTATTCTGGCGTTTAGCAAATAGAAATAATGTCGGTAATCCTGACTGACCTGAAACAGGAAATGTTTAGTCTGATTTGATGTCAGTGAGAAAAAAAGCTTATGTGTCTTTTAATACGGTGAACATAAACTTCTGGTTTCAGCTGTATGTATGGACACCGGACAATCTTAAATTGTGAACGTCCCCTTTAACATCTCACGTCTTACCTGCACATTTGAAGTTCTGCGTGTCCAGTCCTTTCTCTGAGGGAACCGTGCAAAGATGAACCAGGAGAGCTCCGTCCTCCTTCAGTCTGTGCTGCACCAGTCTGTGGAGGTTTCCAGACATTCCTGGATGTGCTTCAGCCGGTCCGTCCTCCCCGCTCTCCAGGTACGAGTCCAGAGCTCCTCGGATCAAAGCCCTCCAGGACCGAGCCTCCTCTGTGTTCTCCGCCCGAAGTCTGAGCGTCTCCCTGACGGTCAGGAGCTTGAAGAAGGCCGGTCCTCCCAGGGAGACGTCGGGAACTACGTCTCGGATGCCCTCGATGGGGTGCGTCAGACGCAACAGCTTCCTTCCATCTTGAACCCGGAAACCTTTTAAGGCCTCCAAGGACAGAGAGAAGACCAGAGGTGACCACGTGCGAGCCTCGGGATCTGTAGAGAAGTACAAAACTGCCTCTTTGATGGCATCTGTTTCCAAATCGGCAGTCCGAGTCCAGTCGAACTCCTGCAGAGGAGGCGCCTCCGGTCCTCCGTTCATGTCGGAGGAAGTCAAGCTTCTCTCGGGGCTGGAGGGAGCCGAGGACGGAGAAGAAACCAGGCGATCGTCCACCCCGTTCTCACCAGAGGGCTGCAGAACCTCCCACTGCTCATCTATTCGAGATGCTGCTGGTCGGCACTTGTTGACGGCCTCCATGATCCGGTCCACCCAGTCCTCGGCTTCGCCTCGATTCGCTGCTCTGAGGTAAACTCGCTTCCCGGGAAACGCCAACTCGAAGCGGCCCTCGGACGAGGTGATGCGAGCGTCCTCGCAGCGCAGCAGCGAGCAGTTCTCTTGGCACGTCCTCTCCTCGGCGTTGAGGTAAAGCCGGAACTCGAAGGGCGACAGCTCGCAGTAATAGTCGCGCCATATTCCCATCGCGCCTCGCCGCTCCAGGTGGCCGAGCTTCAGCAGCCCTCGGAAAGGGTTGGACAGACCTGACGGACAGACGGACACAGGTAACAGGAAGTGAACAAACAGGAATCAGACAAAGATATCAAACAGGTTAAAAAAAAAAAATGTCGGCATAAATTATTTTACATGATCTCTGATAAATTTTTATTTTGAGGAAGAAAGTCCAACCGCTGAAAGGCTTCTTATTATTATCATGATTATTATTCTTGCAGAGACAAATAAAAGTAACAGCGTCAAAGTCAGCTGGCAGCTTATTTGCATCTGTGGTCTCTGTTCAAGTTAAAATAAAGCCAATAACGTACCATTTACATCACTGTTAGTATGAGTTTAAACTACAGAGCTGACAGACATGGAAGCGCGTGAAGACAATCCACACCTTCACAACAGTTTAATTCAACATTTACTTGCATAAAACAGCAGTAACTGAACCCACTGAACCCCAAAACCAAGATTTAAAGGCATGAAGTCAAAAAGAAATCCATTTAAGGACATGCTGCGGTTTCTGCTTTCCAACGGTCCTTGAACTATTCATCCGTGACGTGCATTCTCTTACAGAAAGCTTAAAATCGGGATATTTCATTAAAATCACTTGATGCTACACGTCTTATTTAAAAATTAAACAAAAAACAGTTTGCTCTAAACAGATTCGGTAAAAACAACTCAAACGTCTGTGCTCCCTGTGCACTGTGCAACCTTTAGTGACTCAGCTGTGAGCAACAGCGACTTGACAGAAACTCTGGGACTTTTCAGCTGAACTGTTTATACACACAATTAAAAAAACTAAAATATCTGTCATACTTAGAGCCACCAGTTAGTTTCCAATATTGATAACAGCTGGGGGGCACTGTGCAACCAAAATGCTTTACATGTTGATTCAGTTTTTTTTTTGGTTTTGTAAAATAAAACTTTAAAGAAAGTCAACTTTCTCTTTAGATTCTGATGATGTATGACTCTGTAACTGGTCTCTCTCCTTCCAGCTATGGTTGTGCTGTTTCCGTAGACGTGCAGGACTTTTGTGTTTCGGTGAAATTTTAGACGACAGCGAGTCAAAAAGTGACAGAAGCAAATGACGCCCAGCTTGGGTTTCGGAAAGTGCAGTAAATGTCGTCGTTAAAGAGCCTGATGAGCATCTATTGTCTCCATGGGTGAATAAGAGACACACTGACTGGTGAGACGGCTAAATGACGAGTGAGATCTTTTATAGGTAATGACAACAAAGAGCTCACAGTCGAAGGAACACTAACTTGTTTTCTGATACTGAAACCTGATGGCATAACTCAGCGTCAGGTGTGCTTCAAGTCTCATTCCAGTTTCCGGCGCTGCAGCATTTTTCTGTCTCGTGTCACTTGTCTATTAAATCCCAGGTGTGGTCACTGTGACGCTACCTGTCGACCTCTGGAAGGGCTTTGGTTTGTTCTTGTTCACTGCTGCCGTTGGCTTTTCTGTTGACCTATTTGTTGTAGTAATGTGTGAATAAACAGAGAAAGGCACCAGTAAATACAGCAAACAAGCCCGCGAGCAAGTAAACAAGGATGTAAGCGTTTTGACGAGTAGCGCTGAATGTAAACTAGTCTTGAAAACCCAGACTGTGTCATCACTGGACAACAGTCTGACTGCATCTCGTAAGTGGAGTTTCCTTGAGTAAACGAAACCTTAATCAACAAAACCTTCTAAAAAAATGAACTATTACTATTCTTAATTCTCATCATTTTGGGGATTTTGCTTTGGTGTCGGCTAAAGCCTCTCTGGGGGGAAACAGAAAAAAGGAAATGCGGGAAAAACCCTGCGACTCATCTGCTGAATATATGATTTCTGTTGTGAAATGTCAAAACGCAGTAAAGACAAAAAAAAAAAAGTTCAAGGTGACGTCTTTTAAATGTCACAAATTGTTCAACTAAAAGTCCAAAACCGACAAAAAAACACCTAAACAACCAGCAGGAAAATAACCTTTATAGTGTTTGTTTGGTGAAATACAGAACCCTGGAGCTGCACCACACTTATCTAGAGACACTTCTTACTTTAACTTGACGATAATTATTGATTAGAAAACATTGAAGTTTGTCTCAGGCTCTGCTGAGATGATTTAATTCTCAACGAATGCTAAAGACGACTCATTTGAAACGTATGTCACTGGTGACGTTTACACATTAGTGTCTTTTTCCTGTGTGATGAATCAAACCATCTTATTTGATCTAAATTTCATTTTTATTGGTTTTGTATTATGATAAAAATTGCTGACAATGTTAATTCCGTCCCCCAAAAAATGCCCCCAAAAAAACAAAAAACTATTTTTTTGATGGATTTACGTAAATTCATCAGTATCTCAAACAAACAAACAGAAATTAACAGATGTTCTTGTAATTTCGCAGAAGTTAAGGATTCCATGGATTTAGATATTCAGTCATGTAAATATGAATGCATGAAACACTGATTCTACACGACGGTGGTTAATTATTTAGAACATGATGACTGAGTCAAAGGTGAAATTAAACAACCTTCTGTTTGGAGCATAAAATTACAAAACAATCATTTATTTCCATTTAATGAACCAGTTTTTCTTTGTAAGCAATGATTCTTTTCTTAACCTGGCTCATCTTTAACAATATTTAACTGTTTTTAGTGTCGTCCTCTTGTTCTTTTATGACTAAAACCGATTTTTATACACCTTTTTTACTTTTTTTTGGCTCCACACTGACAAAGACGTTACTTGATGTTGTCTTATGGAGCAAAGACGGGTGCTTTAGAGTTTCTAAAGCATCTCTGACCACATTACAGCTTTTAATCAACATAATATGTTTAACTTAAAAATAGGGCTGGACCCGAACAACTGAATATCTGGATATATATTTGTCAGCAATTCGCCCAGAAATTAGCCCTACTTAAAAACCTAAACAGCATGAGCTTCGTGCTAATGAAGCTACCACAAACTCAGTGCTTTCATGCATTTGTTGCCTCCAGAGATGTCCGTCCATCCATCATCTATACACCGCTTAATCCTCACTAGGGTCGCGGGAGGGCTGGAGTCTGTCTCAGCTGGGTCAGGGTGAAGGCCTAAAACTCAATTTGCAATAATATTTCCCATAGAAAAGCAAGAAATCGTCTCATTTGAGAAGCTAAAAGACTATTTTTGCTTGAAAAATTGCAAAACTAATAGTCGATTGATGTGACAGCTCCATCTGGTCCAACTTTCAGCGAGACGACTTTAAACTCTTGTAACTGTGCGGTTTCATGACGTTTTACACTGAAAACACAGGGACAGTGTGGAATACCTATCTGCCTGCGATGGACCACGCTGGGAGGCGACTGGGAGGCCTTGATCTCGGCCGCGGGAGCAGCGGGAGGCGCTTCGTCGCTGTCGGAAACCTCCTCCAGGTGAGGCTTGTAGATGTCGTCCTCGGAGATCCACGAGTGCGAGTGCTGCGGAAAATGTCAGAGGTTAAAAACGCTTTCGCTGACGAGCACGAGTTTCACACCAGGAATATGTGACAGTGCTGAGTTATGCTTGTGGAAAACATGCTTCCTGTTCAATCATGTGTCTTAGCGGCGAACAAGCTTTTGGAAACCATAAATAACGACCTCATTCTGTGTTAAAGTTCGCGGAAACAGAAGCATAAATCCATCAGTCTTGGATAATTTTGACAGATTTGCCGTCGTGTGGCAACAACAACATGGGTCACCTATCTGGGGGATACATTTCCTGCAGCTGTTCCTGTTTAAACATCACGTTAGCACAGGCTCTAATCTTCACGCTGGGTGTTTGACGGTGCAGGAGAGTTGACTTTCCGTACTTTGATTTATCCACAACGCTCTGCCACAGGAGTAGCTTCACTTCTGACCTGCTTGGCAGCGTTATTCTGACAGTCCATTACAGCAGCGAGGAAAATCTCTCTAACGCAGCGAGACCAACGTGACCACTCATGATCTCCTTGAGCGGCGAAAAGAGAAGAAAAAATACCAGCCACAAGCCACCGTTTTCCATGAATTACTGAAAAGCTTGTGTTGATTTTCCACCGTGACACGCTGGCGACACACCCCGTTTGTCATTTCCTCAGCGTGAAAGCCCAAAAAACCAAATCAGGAACAATTCTAAATGTCTCTTGATAAAATCCACACGAATCAGAGCTTTTATGAGCTGACAGAATAAGGTATAAGACAGGAACTTTTGATTTCAAAATAAAACACAAATGACAAGCGTCTTACGTCACACATTTCATAAATAATCTCCGTACACGAGCTGCTGCTAATCGGGACTGAGTTCTTCTGGGAAACACTCAGACGTTTGGAGAATCGGAGAACAACAAGTTGTTGACAGTTAGGACCGATCGGAAAGCGAAAATGTGCATCTGCATTATCATTTCCAGAAGCGTAACGTTACGCCTGTCCAGACTAAAATGCGAGCCTGAAGGTTTCAAACTGAAACGGGGTCCATAGGTCTCTATTTGAGGAGTCCTGAAAGGCCGGAGTAGAGTGAAAGCTCGATGTAAACACTGCAAAAGTTATGCTTTAAAAAGAAGCCTTAGACTTCTTTAACGACACACTTTGAGATTTTATCTTCACTCTGTAAAAACCAACGAAAAGTGAACAGACTCACAAGTTCTCAGGTCTGTTTTAAACCAACAGTCAGCCGGGTGTTTGAACCTCGACACAAAATGCACCTTCTTAGTGAACGTGGGAATCTACAGCCCAAAACTGTTTAAAAAAAATGTATTCAAAACTCTATACAACATTAAAATGAGGCTTGAGCAGTCTGCTGTCGTGCATATCTTACACAATGACAGTGTTGTGGTGTGAAACTCGTGTGGTGGACTTTCGTACAAGAAAAAACGAACCTTGGAAGTCTGATATTAATAGAGTCAGACCATATTAGCTTAAACCAAGTGCTTCCACAGTAGCAGTGTTTTTAGCATTTAATTCTCTTTATGTGACGATGGAATAATTGTGGCAAAAAGAACAAACTGAAACAGGGTCAGCATCAGGGCTGAACAAATGATCTCCAAATTGAATCGCATAATTGGAAAACAACACAAGCAGCAAATCGCGAAGGCCGGAAATTATGATAAATGTCACAGAGAGCATCTGAGTTCAGGCAGTTGTTTCAGTGGTTTTATAAATTCCTTTTAACCTCCTTCTGTGACAAACACGCCGAGGCTTGACTGAGGCAAATCAAATCACAATATCTGTTAGAAAAAACAAAATCTAAATGAGGTCCCTTCATTCTTAAGCTCTAATCATCAGTGTTTCTGAAAGTCTCTGTCTCAGGGGTGCTTTAATTCCAGAGTAGTGAGAAGGAAAGCTGTAAAATGTGCATTATAAAATGAAAACGTGTCAGTGTGGCTGCAGCCTGGTAGTATTTGCAGCTTTGCTTATCTGTGGTTGGAGCTACTTCCTGCAGATACTTACAGACAGTGAGTCTGAGGACAGCTCCCTGCTCAGGATGCTTGTAGAGCGCCGTGCAGCTTGATGTGCTGGAGCTTCTGAGCTGTTCTTCTCAGCTTGCTTCTCTTCCTGGATTGGCTCGCTGCTCTCCTGAACACCGGTGGCGGGCATTTCCTCCGCAGGTTCGCCGACCGAGGACAGCATGTCTGGGGGCGGCTCAGGGGAGGCGCTGTTGCAGACTTCAGGAGGCTCGTCAGATGACAGCAGCTCGGGCGTTGTCGGCTGAGGCTCTGAATCTGAACTTAGGAGCAGGTCCGCGGGGTCTTGGGACGGTGTGGCGGGACCCTGGATCTCGCTGTCGGAGCCGCTGAAAATGGCGTTTTCTGAGAACTGGTCGGGGCCGGTGCTGGAGACAAACGAGTCTTCACGCATGGAGTCTTGGCTGCAGTGGCCGCTCTCCCGGAAATCAGTCAGCAAGCTGCAGACACAGATCACAAGAAAGACACGTTTATCATTAACTGTTTTACACAGTTTAACCCCGTAAACACCAAACGCACTGAGCATTTCAAAGACATGTTACCATCAAAGACTTTTTTTAAAAACATCATTAAAACTGTAAACTGTAAAAACAAGAACCTCATTCTCAACTTTCAGACACTCACTGAACTCATAATGCATAACATACTGTCAGGAAAAATAACCAAATCTTCAGTTAAAGCTTTGATATTTCACAAGATCCTTGCTAAAAAACGATAAAATTCAGTGCTCGCCAGAAGCCATGACCGACTCAGCTGCGCTCAACAGTCGTGTGGCAAAAATGTGACAAACAACTGGCTGACGTGCAGGTTGTGTTTAAACAGCACAGAGGAGACAAGTACGGAAACAAACTGAGGGATCGAGATTAAATTAAATTAGCAGCAGCTAACTCCACAAAAAGAAATTAAAAAAACCCATCCTGCTGCATAAAACCGCTGCTAGCTTGTAGTTGATGCATCTGCAACGCCTCAAACAAAACAAAACAAAGCCGTATTTAAAGATTGAAGTTACTTCAAATGAAATTTAAGACTTTTTAATACCTTTGAAGAACTGAATTCAATTTTTCTAATCTGACAGCAGAAAACCGCAAACTGAACTTCTGCAGAAACGCCCTAAAACTGCTTCAGATTCAGAGGCCTAAAGTTTATTTATTAATGTTTCCTGGTGCAAATCCATTTAAAAACCAACATTTTTTTCAGTCAAGGGCCCAGTAATCTCTTAAAACAGCTGGACAAGCAAACATGACTGAAACAGGAGAAGCGTAGGAGCATTTCCAGTCTGGGATTAATACACATTTGGTGCTCTGGTGAGTAGTGGGATTAACTCAGAACTACAACTGTGTGTGTGTTCATGGGAACGAAGCAACACATCAACCAGGGCAGCGGTGTGGCACGCTGAGCTGTTTTTAATAGGATCTGGACACCAGAAGGCCCAAACAGAGAAGATACGTCAAACTTTTTGGGTCAATATTGTCCTTTTGATAGATTTTTTTATACATCAGGGAAAATGAAATACATGAAGCACGACGTACTCTTTCTGTGGCCTCTTGGTGCTGACGTTAATGGGTGTGTCCAGGTCACATGAAGACCACTGCTCCCCTGTCGGGCTGCGAGGGTCCTGCCCCTGCAGAAGACTATCGGAGCTGAGGCTGGAGGACAGCTGAGAGGAACCGGTGGTGTCCAGGCTTAAATTAGACGAGTGCATCGCAGTCCTGCCTGACTGAAGCACACCGGAGCCCCTCCCCAGTGACACAGGGCAGCCTCTCTGCACATCCAACGCGTCCGACGAGCCCGACGACTGAGACGCCGTGTCCCAGAGCTCCTTACAGATGGGCCTGGAGGTGGGATGGTCTCCTCCGTTGAGGGGCAGGTCCAGGTGGTCGGCCTGGGCCAGTGGGCAGAGTCCGGCCAGGGCCAGAGGCGTGGTGGTCCATTCGTTGAGGACGGCCGACTTGTAAGACAGGCTGAAGGTGAGCGAGGCCAGACCCTGGAGGTAGCTGAGCAGGACCTCTCGCTCCTCAGCGTTCAGGAGCAAGGCACTGGGCTGGTAGTGGGCCCTCAGCTTGGAGTCTTCCCGGAACAGCGACGCCAGGTAGCACTCGAGGAGGCCGTGGTTGAGGGCGAGACGCAGCCAGGCCCGGCAGCGACCCACGTCGGTGCCCACGAAGCTGATCTTCTCCAGCTCGGTGATCACGTCACTGGAGAATCAACAGAGAGACACTTGATATTGAGCTTTCACAGAATTATAAACCATTAAACTGACGGTCATTTCCTAAATATATTTACTGTTTCGCTCCATGAAAACATCGTCATGTCCTTTTCATAGAGAGTTATGTCTGATCAACAATCGAAATCTCAAAGATCTTGAGTTAGCAATCATACGTGGCAACAGAAAGCACCAAACAGTGACTGACAGATAAGGTGCAATCAGTAAAGGTTTGTACTTTTTGCTTGAATGACTGGAGATGGGAGTTGTCGTGGCACTTTTTGCTGGACAACTAATTATTTCAGCTTTAACAGCAGAAATGCTTTCATAAAACTGCACAACTGAAGCGAACCTTTGAATTGCAGCAAAAAAGCAACATAAAGAAGATGTGACTCAGTTTTGCTTCCATGAACTGCTTTGGAGCAAATACACGAGGATATAGGTATCAGTAGGTGGCGCTATTGGCTACATGGCTGTAATAGACAGAGTAGAAGAAGCCGGAAACAAAACCAGCTGTTTGCAAACCACCGCAAAACCTCACAGAAGAAAGAACAAACAACATTCTGGCGTTTACAAGAGAACAATGGTCTTTAGGAATTGTTTTCAATCGGGACTAAACTGTACAGATGATTGTGGGTCACAAAGGCCAAAAAATACACGCTGGTTTACACACTGCAAAGTCGTAGGACGTCTGAGTATTTTTTTTATGTTCTGCATTTGGCTAACTATGTATTAGGAAATGCTTTGTTTTTTATTTTTCTGGAGTACAATATAGTACGGTAGAATGGATACTGGCGCAAACCCCAACAGTTGCTTGCTAACTGCAAAAAAACTAGAAAAAGAGGAAAAAACAAACAAAACTTTGGCATTTAGAGAGAAAAATGCTCTTTAGGAATTGTTTTCAGTCAGGAAAGTTGTCATTAAACCTTCATTGCTATCAGCCGCTTTTCATGTTGACTGGAGACGAAAACAACGAAAGAACCAGCTGATTGTTATGCAAGTAAAATTTTCCTTCTCCAATGAAGCGCATTCACTCTTTTTACCACCTCAGTGTGCCGTTGCTCTACCTTACCGGTGCGTGACGGTCTTGAGGAGGCTCCAGAAAAAAGGCTGAGGGAGGCCTCCTCTGTCCCCTTTCCTGTTTCGACCTCCGGCCTCTGAGCGGATGAACTTGGTCTTGATCCCGTGGATGAAGATGGCCTCCAGGGCGCAGCAGAGGAGGTTAGCGTCTCCATCTTCACTGGTGACCACCGCGTCCGACGTCACGTATCGTTTCTGCAGGGCCTTGAGGGACTGAGCCAACTTCTCCTTAATCTACGGGACAGTACGGGAAGAGGAGAATAAAATGAGCTTCCTCATTTCTGCTTTAAACAAGAGCTTCTGATGAGAAGCACGCTGGCAAACTGGAAACACTTCCTCTGCTCGCCAGCACACATAAGACGTGACACGTTGTAATGTGCTGCTGAGATGGCAGGCTGGACCTTCTGCATTCCAACTGACAGCGTGATGAAGAAAAGGTAGATGGAGGTCAGAGGCTGTTATGAAACACGGCCTGTCGATTACCTGTCACATGAGGCTTACTGTCAGCTGATATGGAAAGAAATGGAACTTGAACGTAAAAGCGGCAAACCTACATTCTGCAACAGGTTGCAGAATAAAAGTTTTTTTTTTTTTTTTTTTTTGAGCAACACTTGAAAGTTTAAAAGTTCTTGACAATGAGCACTAAAGACTCTTCTGCTGTGCTTCACTTGGCAGGATTTGAGCTTCTGAGTAAACTAAAGTCTACAGAGCTAATTCCTCATCAGCATGATCTGAACTGTCTGTAAAAGCTAAACTTACGACAAACCGAGAGCGAAGCAGGGCTCCAACTAACGGCTATTTTCACTGCAAATTGATCTGTTCATTGTTTTTTTTAATTAATCTACAAAATGGTTAAAACAAATGCCGTCTTGTTTTGTTCACAACTCACAGATATTCAGTTTAGTGTCACAGAGGAGGAAAGAAACCAGAAAATATTCACATTTAGGAAGCTGGAGTCAGAGAATTCTGACTTTTTACTTAAAGAAATCAGTCGTATCAGTTGATCAATTTTTAATATAGTCGATGGTTGATTTAATCTGTTGACACACTGTTCTTGTTTCCCTGTAAAAGCTGCGATGACGATCTCACTGATAACATTCCTGTTCCACTCTGAACACGACACAAGTCTGAACTGCCTGCAGTCACGTTAACAGAAAGACACGTACCAGACCACAGTTCAATTAAAGCTGCGTGAAGTGATTTGAGGAAGTCTTTTTTTTGTCCACCTTTCACCAACAATATTGGTCCAAAAGCATCACAAGGAACAAAGACCGTCAATGTCACGTCAATGACAAACTGAGACGTCCCTAAAAATGACACTGTAGTGCGATGAAGACGGTGTGCAGCAGCTCAGATTAATGAGGCTTTTCAGAGTTTGTGTAATCCAGGTTTTGATTAACAGGATTTAGTTTGCTGCTTTTCAGTGTATTTAATACCTGCAGACAGGAGAGGAAGAGCTGCACACATTTACAGACGTCACACAGCACCAGTAACGACATTAATGACTTACAAGAATAAATTATTTTTAACATGGAGACAGAACTGATCGGGATCTCGTGTCAGGTCAGACTGTGAGCTTGTCTGCTTTTCTGTGAGCTGCACAGAATTACAGTTAAATCAGTTTATTCAGTGTTTATTAGCGCATTACAATGTTTATATGTCATTTGATGTATTGTTCAATCTAACACAGGCTAAAGCTTGCTCTTATTCTTTGTCTGTGAAGATTCTCAGTCATCCAGCTCATGGTTGTTCTCGTAGTTTAATCGTAGCAGCTGGACTTGCTTGAGTTCCTTCAAGACATTTCACCTCTCGTCCAAGAGGCTTCATCAGCTTTGACTGACTAGTTGGGGTTCCAGATACTTATATCCTTAAGGATCCATTAACACTTATCACGCTTATTCTTTCCTGCAGCTGCTGTTTTGCCTTTAACCCAACATCTTCTCTTGCCTCTCCAAAGAGCATCCAACTAAACCCTGTCGTAACAAAACTCTACATCACAAACGCATGCAAGCCAAAAGATCACCGAGTGCAGGGTTGACGGTGGTGTAACGCTGAGCACAGTTTCACCAGCAACATTACAACACATGACACTTCAATGTCACAACTGAACTCTGTCAAGCAAAAATCCATTCAAGGAGCCACTAAAGTCAATCCAAGCGTGAAAGAGAAAACAACCAGGCAGAAGTGAAGGCAGAAAAGATCTCTGCGCAGAGGAAACACGCTTGAGATTCTACCTGTTTGACATCTTTAGCCTCAGGTGGCATCTCTGGCGTCTGTGTGGCTAACATGGCACCTCCTGGGACGGTTCACTCCCACATGGCACGCTGAAACACAAAAACAACGCACTGACAGTGAGCTTCAAACGCACCACTGCAGACATCACATTCAACATATAAGATGATAAACAAGATGTACAGAGCGAGCGCGTCCAGACGGACAAGGCATGTGACAACAAGGAAAATGCTTTTCATCTTCTTCATCTCATGTTATCATTACATTTTCCGTCACAAGACTGGATTGTGTGGCATATCTGCAATTTCAGGGTTTGTGTGAGTAACCGCACTCAAAGTGAGTCATGTGAGGTCCTGATTAAAGAGGCCGTCTGCAGGGAAGTGGCTGAAAACGCTTCAAAACTAACTTCCTCAATCTGAACAGCCCTCTGGAAGAACAAATCATGGTCTGAACAGCGAGCCACACTGATTCCCCCACACGACTACAGCCACATAAGCTCGCTTCAAATACCTGTTAGCGCCAAGCTGCTCCCGAAAATAGGTTTGCTTTACAAATTAGTAGCCAAGTGGTGCTAAGCGTTTGCACTCGCGCGGTGCCACTGCCGCCAGTTTGTCATCATAGTTTCACTTTAAGCCAACCAGTCTGAATGCATTTCTGATCTCTACAATCACTTGAACTGAGTCACTCACAGTTTGAAACCAAAGAGCAGTTTGGGTGGTTGCAGTTCGGCTCTTTTACCGTCTTACCTTTGTTTCTGTTGCATTTATTTCTTCATGAGGCTGCCCTAGTCATGTCTACTTCTCGTGTCTTTTTAAACTTGGCTGGTTTTACTTAGTTTTCTGTTTTACTTTTTTGTTTTTTATGGTGCTACGTCTGTTTTTAATGCAGCTAGTATGCTTTATCTTGGCTATCCTGTTCATATATTTGTTTGCACGTCATTATATGTCCGTTTTTTTGTGCTTCTTCCATGTATTTATGCATTTATAAGTCCTCTAGTATTCCAGTACCTCTCTGCAGTCTTTTTCTGGATCTGAATCTGCAGCTACTGATCCCATCAACCTATCCAGTCTTTATCTGTTTGTCGTCTGTCTGTTTATCTCTGCTAATCTTTTCAGCCTCTTCATTACGCGCACCTGAACAAGTCAAGGCTGAATGCTACAGGAAAAAACAATTTGGGAATAAAAATGATGTAATTGTGATTTTTTTGACAGATTTGTGACTTATTCATCATTACCACACAAGATACTAGCAACAGCACAACGAGGACAGCCTGAACTTCGTAAAACCATTGACACGACAGTATGAACCGTGGTTCAGACGCATAAACAGAAATCTTACGATGAGATTTGCTGAGTGCATTATTTCAAATTGCTTTTTTTTTTTTTTTTTCAGATTTGACACTGATTAATTGTTCAGCCTTTGCTTATTCCCTGAGCTCTCTGGCTGTTAAAGGGCAGCTTTTCCTCTCTGCATTTACATTTCATATAACACTGCATGGTCTTAATATTTAAATTAGTACTTAGTATTTAAGGTAGTCAGGCTGATTTGTCTTGTATAAAATAATACAAGCTATTCACCACAACTTTTCAATTTGATGGGTAAATTTGTACTATACATACATATATATATATATATATATATACAGAGAGAGAGAGAGAGAGCGTCTTAACTTAAATATTTACATTTATTAAAGTAATTAGTATTTAATATGTAATACTACAGGGTCTTCAGGTTAGTCAGGTAAATCTGAAATACACTGAATCTGCACTTTTAGCCAGGTTATTTTGTGTTAAGTAAACTATTACAGGTCCTTCACCATAATATTTAAATTATTAAAGGCAACTTGTATTTTATATGTAATATTGTGGTGTACTTAGTATTTAAGGTAGTCCGGTCGATTTGTTTTGTATAAAATAAAGTATTAACCTCAACTTTTCAATTTGACAGGTAAGTCTGGACAATATATAATATTATAGGGTTTTAACTTAAATTTATTAATCTGCTAAGGTAATTAGTATTTAATATAGAACATCATTGACGGTCTTAACCTACTTAATTAGCCAGGTTAATTTGTATTAACTAAATATTACAGGTTCTAAACCTTCATATGTAAACTTCTAAGATAAATTCGTAATGCCAGCCTAGTTTCTCAGTGGTAAAGAGCTTTGGTTGTTGATTTAAACGAGCTGTAGACATCATGTTGATTTTCTGAAGTTGCCACAACACTCTTTAGCTTGTGATTTGGGCGTTTTTACACGTTCAATCTCGACACGAACCATTTGACAACCTAATATTACACACATACAACAAGAATAAGATGCGAAAACCACAACACCACAGGCAGTTACATTTAAAAAAGCATTAAAACACGACCCTGTCAGTTACCTGAAACCTAAATGAGCCATTAGCAGCGGACGCTAACTAGCTCGGTGTGTTCCACAGCTAGCTTCCTTACCGAAACAGGCTAACTTGCCATTAAGGTCCCAGAAAAACAAGCGTTATCCTCCTTAAAATGTTGTAAACTCGGTGTCTGTGCGTTGAAGGCACGTTAATCCGTACAGTCGCTCTCCATAGCTTCTCTAACGACGGCGAGAAAAGAAAAAAACAGCAGAAAAACGAAGCTGAACTCCGGTGTGTGCAGCTCTCCAGCCAGCGTCCAACTGAGGACTGATGCATCATGGGAGCCAGACCCGACCGTTGATGCCTTCGCGCTCTGACACAAAAGTAGTAAAACTCGGTCACTGATTATTTACAGGCGGATATTAAACATTATTTTACCGGATTAAAATGAGACATACATGTGCCGGATTTCTTAAAAGTATACGTTCACATAAAAACAGTATAAATCGCACCAGCATTTCCTCAACTAACACTAAATTAAAGCAGCCACCTTAGACGACATCAGTAGAAGTTGTAGTTTACGAGGAACGCCCAAAGGCGGCGCAGCTTTCGAGGCGTGTTGATGTTGTTGGTCAGGTTGCTGACATGTGAGGACTTCATGTTCTCTGTACGAAGGCAGAAAGAAAAACACACCAGAGTCATGTTACAACATGTAAAACTTACTGTCATCAAAACTGATTTTTCACATATTAATTGCAAACAAACTTATCACGCTCCTAAAATAAACTTTTCTAGTTACAACAACAAACTTTTCTTGTCACAACAATCCAGGGTAAACCAGGGTAAGATGCTCCGCATAATAGCAATGTGTATGTTCTTTAAGAATATATAGAATTTAATATCAATTTAATATATATCCACAAAAAATTATTCTTTTTTTTCATGACAACATTTAATTCTGGTAATCCCAGTCTGAGCAGAGCAGAACAAAACATCCATCCATCCATCCATCCACCCATTATCTATGCACCGCTCAGTCCTCACTAGGGTCATGGGGGGTTGCAGTCACAGCTGACTCAAGGTGAAGGCAGGGGACACCTGGACAGGTAACCAGTCCATCGCAGGGCCACACTTAGAGGCTCACATTCACACCTACGGACAATTTAGAATCACCAGTTAACCTCAACTCCACTGTGGGAGGAAGCCGGAGAACCTGGAGAGAACCCACGCTGCACGGGGAGAACATGGAGACTCCACGCAGAAAGATTCCAGTGCTGCAAGGCAACAGTGCTAACCAACTGCGCCACCTTGCAGCGCTAGTATGAAAATCAACATTTTAAATACTGCGGATCATATTTGCGCTTTGCCATCTTGCGTCCCAACATCAACACAAACTTAAAATGAACGTCAAACAAACTATGGTTACCATGCCTGTCAAAATAAATGTTTTTTCAAAATAAAAAATAAGTCCAACCTGAGACGCACATTATAAATCATTGAATTTTGACCAGCTGTCCGTGACCCACCCAGAACACAGGTTCAGTAACAGCGCTGTGTAGCCGCCCAGCTGAAACCAGAAGTTTACATACACGTTACAAAAAGACTCTCACTGTCTGACATTAAACCAGACTAAACTTTTCCTGGTTTAGATCAGTTAGGATTACCAACATTATTTCTATTTGCTACACAGTGTATGTAACCTGAACATGCATGTACACTTAAAAAAATGCCCAATTTTTCAAAAACCTATTTTTCGTCAATCGTTTATCGGTACCCTAACTTGAGCAGGTTTTTTTCAGGGTTTCCCACGGGAGTTGAACTTCAACATTTTAAGGCATGTTATTACACCTTTACAAACATATTGGTGAAGAAATTGTTTGGTAACGATTTAGTTGCCAGATTTTGATATTTTTCCCTTATTGTATATAAAAGTGGAAAAAGGACGAAGTTGAGACACAAAAACATACAAAATTACTACAAAAAGGACATAAAATGACCACAAAGAAAAAAAATACCCCAAAAGAAATGCTCAGGGTGCACAATACAAACTTGATAAAAAAGAACAAAACTTTTTTTTATTGTGTATGTTCCAATGCAACATACATGTCAGATTATAAATACAGACAATTTTACAATTTTGATTATTTTTTTTGAAACAATAATCTGCAAAGTTTTCTCCAAACTGTTCAAACATACAAACAGGGCCAAGAATGTTTAACATAAAACTAGTATTCATCTTGAAATATTTTCTTCTTTTTTCTTTTAAGATAAATACAATAAAGGGGTTTATTTCATGATTATTGTAATAATAGTAATAATAATAATAACTGGAACATTTCTGAACACATTTTGAGTGTGCCAATGCAGCTCCATACATCCTGACATATTTATACACAAGGTATAATTCACATGAATACGTTTATTCTGGAAAGCCAGCATATTTCACATCAGGTCAAGGTCTCTGAGCTTTTATCTTGAAAATGTAGCAGAGGTCACAAAATCCTATCCAGTCTCTGTAAATACCATTTACCAGATACCATTGTTGTTGGCTATGGAATAAAGAATTTAGGAAAACAGATGAAATAAAATGACATAAATATTCAATAAATAAGATATCTATCATTAACATAGAGAGAGATAGATTAAGGGTAAAATTGGAGTGAAAACAAAAACTCAAACAGAATAAGAAAATAATAAAAATGAGGTCGCAAACGTTACATTAAATGTTTAAACCCTCTGAGTTGGACGAGTCCAACGGCTGCATTTTGGCTAAAATCAAGACAGAGTTCCACAGAAACACCAAAGCAGAAAGCAAAGAGTCGATGCATGTTCACATGTGTGCTTCTCTGTGAGGAAAAACTGAACCTAACCAGCCAGCACAGATACAGGACGAAGCCCACAGGAGCAGAAGAACCTGGAAACTCAGTGGAAACTCTTCTGATCCAGTCATTCTGTGAAGCTGTAACACCTGAGCAGGTACATCAGACCGTACAGTCACAACAATATTGGCAGCTGCTTCTGGAGATGTGTTTGATAAGTCTACAGTCCTTGTTCACATCGTAATTAACAGGATTTACACACAGATTTTAGACATTAAGTAAAAAAAATTATTCCCTATAATCTTGAAAATATTGTCATTTTTATAGTCATTTAAACCATTTTAGTTGCTGTTACACTTTTTGTTTGTGTTTTTTAGATATATTTTTTGGGGGCTTTTCCACCTTTAATGATAGTGACAGTGAAGATAGACAGAGAAACATGGGGAGGAGAGTGGAGGAATGACATGCAGCAAATGAGCCGCTGGCTGGAATCGAACTGCAGCCGCTGCATCGGGGATTATAGCCCCTGTACATGGGTCACCCGCCCTGCCTGCCGAGCTATCCGGGCGCCCGCTGATATCACTTTCTAATGGGTGGAAAACTGCAATATATGAGAGTAATCGATCCTTTAAAGTGGCTTTGGTCACTAAAACCAGTTTCACTGGTTCTAGTTCAGTGCACAGAGCAGGTGAATGATACAAAGACATGAAGATAATGAACTTCTGTCAGTGGAGTGCAGAAAAATCCAGATTTTTCAAATGCATACCCATGTTCTGTATTAAAATAGGAAAAATGAGGACGATACATGCCAATTTATGGCAAAAAAAATTTATTCTTAAAAGGAAAAAGAACGTGTCAGCTGAAAAGAAAAATGCTGCATAACTCATAATTATTGTCCTTGGATGAGATTTATACAAAACACATCAGCCCTCAGTGCATCTATAATGCAGGAACAATAAACAGAACATGCAGGTTTCCATAATAAATACCACGAAAACAGCTGAAATACCAAAGAACGCAGTGATATGTGTGGTGACTTTCATATTAAGGGCACGAAGGACAAACAGCCGAACCACAGATTCAGTTGTCTGTAAATATTTCACTCAGACTGAACTGCTGGTTAAACTTTAGTCAAAATTCACCTTGTTGAGTTCAGAAAAACAAGCTGGTCTCCAGATTTCACCTCTAGATGGAGACAAACAGCCACCGTAGAGGTGCAGCTCCACTTCCTCAGCTGGTTTCTGTTTTAAATGACAACACTGATGTTGGCTCGTCCCAGTCTGAGCAAAACAAAACAAGGTTTCTTGAACACAGTTACTAATTAAAACTATTTATCTGGTAATAGCTGCAAGGAAAGTGAGACTGAGAAGTTTGCAGTTAATATTTCGTATTTGGAAGCCAATGAAATTACCACAAAGAGACAAACAAGTACAATCACTATTTGACTATAACAAAGTGGAAAAAAGACGAAGCCAAGACACAAAATGACCACAAAGAGAAAAAAAATCCCAAAAGAAATGTTAATGAGGTACACAGTGATGCAAAACCAGCACAAAGAGACACAAAAGAAGCACATGACTACAACGACACACAAAATGACCACAAAAGGATCCATCCATCCATCCATCATCTCTACACCTTAGTCCTCACTAGGGTCATGGGGGGCTGGAGTCTATCCCAGCTGACTCAGGGTGAAGGCAGGTTCACCAGTTAACCTCAACATGTTTCTGGACTGTGTGGGAGGAAGCTGGAGAACCTGGAGAGAACCCACGCTGCACGGGGAGAACATGGAGACTCCACGCAGAAAGATCCTCACCAGAACGTTAACCGGTGACCTTCTACCTACGAGGCTGCTAACGGTGCTAACCACCGACCACCATGCAGCCCCCACAAAGAGATGCAAAGCAAATAAGAAACACAAAGCAACAGAGACATTAAATACACAAAGAGATGATAAATTATCTACAAAGAGGGTGTAAATGACCACAAGGAGATAAAAAATAGACAATGTGATGCAAAAACGACCACCATAGTAATGCAAACAATGACCAAAGAGACGCACAACACTGTCCTGGTGTGATGCAAAAAACCACAAGAGACACAAAACCAACACAAATTGATATAAAACAACCGCAAAGCTACAAAAAGATGCAAAATAACTACAAAGCAGTACAATGTGGATGCATAATAAGCACAAAAGAAAAAATGCAAAACGGCCACAGAGGTGCAAAAATAGCTCCAAAAACACACAAATTAACCACAATGATTGATTACAAAATGACCACGAAGCAAAAAAAGAGACACAAAACAACCACTCAGACAAAAAACGCCTCGAAAAAGCACAAAATACATTCAGAGTGATGCAAAACAGCACAAAACGAATCCACAGGAGACACTGAGATACACAAAAAAGAAAAATAGATACAAAACAAACAACTACAAAGT